GAAACGCTGGGTGTCCCACATTCCACATATCCTTTCCACATCCTATCCAATTTTTTCCAAGAGGTCATCCACCCTGGAGCTCCCTTAACCCACTCTGAGGCGAATATATCCATTCCCCTATCTCCGCTTTCTGGAACCATTGAAGCCCAAATTGTGTAAGAACCTCAAGGTTGTTTCCATATTACACCGGTACCCCTTTTGCTGTCCAAGCCTCTACCCATTGAGCAGAGTTGCCTTCAAGAGGGCAGCTTCGATGAAAATGGCATCAATGCAGAAATCAAGAGCAAAAAAGGGTTCCATCTTCCTGGTCCATTTTCATTTTTTCTTCATCTTTGTACTACTGACCATATCTGCCTTGATTTCTGAAGGGAGTGTCTCTTCATCGTAAACTCCGTTTTTAAATGATTGATACCACAACAGTAGGCGGGCCACGCTCTGTCTACAAAAATGAATAGGATGCATTTTCGGATCCAAAATAATTTCTAAGCTGCTGCTACTCCACAAGAAGGTCAAAAACAAAACTTGGGGTCCAAAATCGACTGAGCACGCATCATGCATTATACGGCAAACTAAGTGTTATAGGTATTCGAATGACAGTGGCACTTATCACGGCTTGAGGAGCGTATTTAGTGGGGATTCAAAATCATCCCTATTTTTATATAGGAGGTTTCTCAATATTTGAAGTGAACGAAAACAAGGCTTATAAAGTGCGAGCAGATTCTGGGGTTTAATCATTGGCGTGTATTATAAATAGATGGCTTGTCAAATTGATAAATATTATAGATGGCTTGTCAATTAAATAGCACTCACCTACTAGTACGGTCCCTTAATTCTCTGGGACTACGAGGGAGAGCTTTTGTTAAAAACCGAACCACCTGCTTCTTACACAAGTTGATCCTTGAAATGGCGATCTGAACGTCACTTCTCTCTTCGGGGGTTGAGGAAGGCTGATGAAAATTTTGCAGGTTGAAAAAGTTTTTTACGACCCCACCATCTCTGACCAATTCTTTTCTAGGGCGTTCACCTATTCATTCGAGAGAATTTCGTCTTTCTCAGGTTTTAAGTTATAAATTGCCCTAGTATCGGCTCCTTATATTTTTACGTGTAATAAATACGAAAAACTCTGTTGGTGAATGATGCACTCCTATGTTTTGACTGTAACTTACCACTTTTTCAGATAATTGCGCAGGCTATCGACACGATATTGTGCTACCTGCTGCCATGTTTAACGATCGTCATTTTGAACATATTGGTAGTCTTGAAAATTAGGCGATCCGCATTCGTCGACACAAAAAATCAACGTACCTCACGGCGACAAGGCGGTAAGCACTGTTTTTACCACACCATTGATGCCGATACTTGTTTACAACATATAAGTCTATTTAATAGAGCCGTCTGTCATGCTTTCCCGAACGGGAGTGAAAATTACTTCAAATTCAAATTTCGTTGCTTTTCCTCAAGAAGTGTTTTTAAATTCACTTTCAGTTACATGCACACATTCTTGACAAATAGCCTCCTTTTTAGGTCCTGGTTGGGGAAAAATAGAACTGGGAGCGACTTATGTACGCTTTCTCCCCTTCCAAAGCAGCGTAGCACAGAGTCGTTTTTTGTAGGGTTGCGCCACTTTTTAGGGGCCGTGTCCCTGTAAGGCGCATAGATCGATGTTGAATGATGACATGATTGTAGAGTTCATAGTCAAAGTAATGCAGTACCTCTTGGCGACACTGCGGATTTGCACGAAACTAACTCGTGAGACCACGCCTTATTTCAGCGCGCCCTAAAATCGCTCAATATTAGACAAAATTAATTCTATAGGTAGCTTCCTATCTAATTTTTGACTTGAGCAATATACCAAACGTAACTGTATGTAGATTCGAGCTTTCAAATCATATCATACATTGTTAGGAAGAGAATTGAAGGTTGCAAGGGGGACTCGGAAATACGTTCAATAGAATTTTTGATACAATTCATAACCCTCTCGTCTCTGAAGACTACAGTAAGACGGAGAAGTGGCGGATATAAATTATTCATTAGCTGATTACGCAGAACCCCAGTTAAAATATCGCTGAGCTGAATACCACACGTGAAATTAAGTGTAAATTTAATTCCTAATTGACAGTTCTGTTTACCATGCTATACAAAGGTATGATGAAGCTTGCGATCAATTTCTATTATAGAAGGATGTAGATATTTCAAAGGCGCAAAGAAAAAGATTTTAAAGGAATCCTCGAAAAAACCGTGATTCTATCTCACTCATAATTCACTGACATGGGACCAATCGTTCACGACTAGAAGGGAGAACAAAAAATAGCATTTGTTTTGATAAAAATTGAAAACCCGAGAGGGCCGCTACGGGCCCTTTTCGTCGCGTCGCCTGACACGTAACCGCCCGAGGGCACTCTTCTTTCCATTCCCCGCTTTAGGCACCGTCCCATTTACGATTGTCCAGGGTGTGGTTTCTGCAAAATCGTTTCCTCTTCGGAAACTGAATCTTTGTGGTGAAACTTTGTATGTGTCACTAGTGATCACAACTGACATATCTGTTTTGGGATAGATTGCAAGATATCTTTTTCGAGAAGGATTCTAAGATGGCCCCGCCATTGTGCACCATTGTCCCACGTGACGCGCAGTGGGCATGTATACACTCTGTTACGCGAACCACCGCCACCATTGTTGTAGAAAACTTGCTAATTTATCGGAGAATTCATTCGAAGTTTTTTTATCTGGAAACAGTTACTTTATCTGAAGCGATATTTTCAGATCTAAAGCTTGATATGGTCTAACTCCATGAATTGCAGGCCAGACAGCGCAGTCTGGATCTCTGACTCGTATTTTATGGGTGATGCCATTGGTTTTCGTCGTGCTAAACACTCCTTTCTATGTAATAATGATGATCGAAGTCTTTTCGCAAGTCGTCTATCATTCGTCACCCGAATTCACACATCGATCTCAGGTTTTCGTGGTAAGAAATATAGCATCTTTTTTAGAATTTTTGAAACAGTTCCCGACTGACTTTCCCGCCACTAAAAATTGTTGTGCCGTGGAGAAACGAATCCAAAACTGAGATAAATTGTAATAATTGTCTCCTATGAGTGCTCCTCGTTGATACTTCAGTGGCTATTTTCGTCTCGAGCGTATTCAATAGGTTGTTGCATTACAAATGTCGCTCAGATTTAGCTTCACCCCACTCGGCTGCATTTGAACATCCAGGACTATTCTAAGCACTCATTCGAAAGATGAAGTCTAGGAGCATAAAAGTTGAATTTTTTTTGAACGATGACTGACGGTAATTTCCTTTGTGCACGTGGATTCTCAGCGACATCTTGAGGGGGTGAACCCAGCTCACACGGTCACGGCAGGTCTTCTTAAAAATTTGATCCCTACCAAGCATCGGCTCGGCGAGAAAGAAATTTCTTGAACTTGAACCTCGAAACTTGAACCATAATTTCATGAACTCACTTCATTACCAAAAAGCTACATTTTCACGACAAAAATAATCAGCGAAAAAGTGCAAGACCGGACTGAAGACTTTCGACTTCCCCGCCAACAGCTCTTGTCACACTCCATCTATGTGCTGCGCATCCGAGTCAACGCGGCACGTTTTGAAGGAGAAACAGTTCAGAGAGTAAAAAAAATCGGATCTGGGTGTCCAAATTTTACCTGCGCACAGTTGCTACGATTCTTTGAGAAGGAGGTCGAGTCCCTGCGTGAGGAATGGCGAAGCCTTACACATTAAAGTGGTCGCCTCTCGTTTTGAGGTACCGAATGATTGCTTCCAACAAATTTTGTGTACATCCAAAAGCGACACTCATAATGCAATAACCTAATACAAGCTCCTCTCCATATATACAGGACTCCTCTACATTTCTAACCACATCTAATAGATAAACACTTCTTCGGGGCGAAAAATTGAATCGTGAGTTCAACTGACTGCAGTTTTCAAACGCTGTCTTTATGCAGAGTTTCTCGCAAGAATGCTGAACTGTTGGCGAAGCACGTCGCCTCAGCAGAGACCCAGATTTCGTTCTGTAC